GACGCGTGTGACGTCACAGCTCTCAAGCGGAGTCGAAAATGGCGGAGCGTCGCCTGGCGTGCTGACCCGGTTTTCACACAGGTTTGTCCCTTTCGTTGCTTAGACCGACGCGAACAGCCGCCGGGCCTTGGAGATTGGGTAATCACCTTCCTGCCGAGTAAGGTTTCAGGCGAGAAAAGTCCTCGGCGCGCGAGAAAAGGGCGGCGGAAGGGACCCTGTCATTGACCGGGCTTGGAGGGGGAGCTGTCGGGGCTGTCGGCGGCGCCTCCTTCGGCTCGATAGTCTCTCCCTCCTCCTTCCTTCCTCCTTCTCTCCTTCTCTCCTCCTTCCCTCCGCCTTCCTTCCTCTTTCGTAGCCCTTATTCTCTCTCGAAGGACGGCGCTCGAGACAACTAGCTCTCCTTGTCTTCATTCTCCTTCTCTCTGTCTCCTCGTTCCTCCGCCTCCTCCTGTTCTCTGTTCGTGCGGGAGGGCGAATGGAGGAGGTGGAGGAGGGAGAGATAAAGAGGGAGGAGGGAGGAAGGAAGGAGGGAATGGAAGGAAAGGTGATAGGGAGATTCGTTTCGGAGGAGGGGGGAAGTGGGAGGGAGGGAGGGATGGGGGGCAGGGGGGGACTCCCTCAGGCTTTTGTCTCTCTGGTCTCCCTCCTTTTTGAACTCTTCGGTCTGGATATTTGCTCCTTCCTTTTTCTGGTTATCTGTATTGTGCTGCTGCTTTTGCGTATTTTCTCTCCTCTTCCCTCTTCTTCCTTCCTCCTCCTCCTCCTTGTCTCTCTCATCTTCCTTATTTCTGCTCTTCCCTCTCTTCCCGTCCTCTCCTTCCTCCTTCGGCTCTTCTGCCATTGGCTCCAACCCCTCCCCCCTTCCCCCCTCCTCCTCCTCCAGAGACCTTGAACTGCCAGGTGTCTCGTCACCCTTAAACGACCCTTAACGAAGGCCTCATCAAGCACCTGGGAATGTAGGGGGTTGGTCCTTTTAATTGATTCTTAAGTCTCATTTCAATTGGCACTCATCAGGGCCAGTTAAGGACTCGTTAGCCAGACGTCCCCGCCCCCCCCTCCCTCCGGTTCCTGCAGGTGGCGAGAGCTCGAGGGGGCCGCAGACAAGGACGTACGCAACTCGTTTTGACATTACCGTTGCGTGTCTGAGGCTCTCGTTGGCAAGGCGGTTTAAGGGGAGATTTTTCCGGCATGGATTGTTTGTCCGGCAACTGATTTTAACGACTTGGTTTGTGTTTGTGCTTGTGCGTAATTTTGTGGGAATTATGAAGATGTTTTGCTCGGTTTAAAAGATGGTTATGAGATAATTACTGTTGATATGGACAAGCAAAAATTGTTGAAAGTTGTTATTGATTGTTTAGTGTAGAACTTTGAGAAGGGATTTGTTTACTAAGGAGATAGTAAATACATTTAATGTTATTTGTTAATTATATTTATATGAATGGCCAGAAGTGTTAGCTGTTGACTGAAATGTTTTTAAAAAGGGAATTTCCCAAAAAATCATTGCCATAGTGAAATAGTGGATACATTAGGGACTTCTAATATATTACCTTGCATATTAAAAAAAAAAAAAATCTGATTTCATAGGAAGTATGCTAAGATGTAAATTAAGAATGAATATTTTTACCTATCAGTTAATCTAAACAAATCAATCAAGCTTAGGTGATGTCATTTTGAAATTACCATGGCATATGTATGATTTAATTACTTAGGTTTATGTTCTGTCCCCTGTTTTCTTTTGTTTGTGAAATTTGTTACATACAGAAGCTCCATATTTCCTTGAAAGAGTGCAAAAATGTGCTTTTCTTTCTAATACTATTGATAACGATACCATTATTATTATTAATGATCTGATTATTAAATTATTAGAATATTAATAACATTAAAGACAATGAATAAAATAACATAAAAGAATTTTTACAGAAATCAAGAATAGGTAGAACCAATAATTGACTCCAGGGTGACTAATGACTTTTACAGCTATTTGTGTGAAAAGACAATTAATAAACTTGTATGACAGTGGGCATGGCATGTATTCTTGCCATCTGGGCCATTTGGGTTAAGAGTTACACTTTATGGAAGTTTACTGCTTAATTGTTTGATTGACAAGCTACTTTCTTAAATTAAGTAACATGTATATCAGTTATGAGTTCTTTATAATTAATTTTTCTTTTTTTTTCACAGCAGTCAAAATGGATGGAGAACTTCTGTCTCTGAAGTGGAACAACCACAGGACCACCTTCTATCATGTCATCAGTGGTCTCCGCAATAAGGTACACAACTCGCGATCAGTGTGTTTGGAATTGTCTGTTTGTCATTGATTTTCCCTTTTAAATTTGTCTTAAAAGTGTTCAATTTTGAAATTTGATTAAAGGGTCTTTGCTGTTGAAATAAAAAAAAAAAAATTGGGGGCCTATGTTTTTAAGTTTTTTATAGGATTTTGATTTGAGAATAAAGATGGATAGATTGATTGATTGATAAATTCATAACTAATTAGTTGATTATTTGTGGAAAACTTCCTGATCTTCGTAAAAAAAAATTATTTAAATTTACAGGAGACGTACACTGATGTGACGTTGGCATGTGAGGGCAAGTTCTACCCCGTCCATAAACTGGTTCTGTCTACGTGTAGTGAATACTTTAGTGATATTTTTGAACGTACTCCCTGTAAAAACCCCGTGGTGGTTTTAAAAGACATACAGTGCCGTGATATAGAGTTCTTACTAGACTATATGTACATTGGTGAAGTGAACGTGAGACAGAATGAACTCTCATCCCTAATAAAAGCGGCCGAATGCCTAAGAATCAAAGGGTTGGCGGTGCCGGACGAGGAGCCAAAGAAGGCCTTCAGTAATAGTGTTAGTACAAGTGGAGTGCAACAGAGTGCGAGGCAACGGCCCGAACAGCCCAGTCCGCCGGCCAAGAGACGGAAGGCGGACGACCGGCGGGCCACCTCCATAGGAACAGAACACAGCCCAGGCAGACCCCCGGGAGACCCCGCGCCCGCCAGCCCAGATCGCCAGAGCCATCCCCAGCACCAGCACTCGAGCACTGCAGACTTGGGCAGCGCGAGAGAACAGACGGAACAGCAGCAGGGCGGCGACGTGAGCACGGACATCCCAACGGTACAAATAAAGGTCGAACAAGACAACTTCGAAACCACCGGCCAAGACGACTACACCTCGGTTCAAAGCAACAGCTATGACGACGGGGGAGGGGACGACGGGGATGGCCCCCAGGGGTCCGAAGGTAACACCAACGAGTTCCCAGAGTTCCTCCAGTCGACGGTGGAAAAGGAAGAACCTGTGGCCATGAGTGACTTTAACCCTAGTGATTTCCCCGGGCCTTCGGGTCTACAAAATGTAAGTAACAACGTGGGGAAAAAAAGTGTTTTAAGAGTTTGGTGGTAAAGTTATTGTGTTAGCATGGCAAATCTAGAGAAGTCTGTTGTTAACCAGAAGAAACTGTTTATGATTCTTGTGTTATTCTTGATATTCTTGGAAATTGGAAGAAAATTTCCACTTTTGTTTTTTTTACTAGGGAAACAAAGTAAAAGAGCAAATGTTTGGAATGAAGTTGAATGTGAGAGGAAGGAAACCATTTGTAAATAATTTTTTTATTTTATTTTTTTGTAATTATATGAAATTTCTCATGAGAATAGTTTCATTGTTTGATATTCCATGATGGATAAAATAATTTTCATTAAATATAATAGGAATTGCAGCAAATCTTTGATATATGTTGGGAAGGACTAATTAGGATATGTAAATGATACTGATATGGTTGCTGTTATTTCATATGTACTTAGTGGCAAGTTATAGCTCCCTTGTTCTTTGTTTGTTGGATGTATTGTCAACTTTAAAGTAGGCCATTTGGGGGAAGGTTCTCTGATTATAGCAAGCTAACCATATATGAGGGCTGTAATTTGTTTTATCCTCTTTACCAAGTCTATTAAGTTTATAAAAGTCATTGTAGTGGATTAATTATGTCAGTGAAAACACATTGAATAACATTATTTTGCTTCAGGGCAGTAGGTCTAAAGTACAAGATATGTGGCAGATGATGATTTTTACAAAGTCAAACAACATACAAACAACATATAATATGATATTTGTTTTTCACAAATTTCAGAGTGGTTTAGCAACTTGGGAAAGTGAAAATAGTTCAACAAACTTTGCGGAAGGTCTGTCTGGGGCTGTTGCAGCTGCTGTTGCGGCAGCATCCCAGCCTCAGCGACAGCAACAACAGTTGGTGAGTGTTGAACCCTTGTCTTTGCTTTGGAGGTGCCATGACAGGAGGTGTTAAGTAGGGGTGTTTTGAAAAGTAGTCAGATGTGGGATGGCTAATGTAACAGGAGAGTTTTATGTCAAAATTTCCAGAATATGAAGTTTTCTAAGCATTTGTGCAAATCAAGGTCCACTACCAAAAGTTAAGACTTAACACCTTCATTGGCTGCTATTAGCATTTCAAAGGATTTAAAGAGATACTGATTGTATTAAATTTTGTACAGTGTATGATCACTTTTCATGAAGGTAGTGTTGGGTCATTTTCAGGACGTGAGCAATCAGTATCCTTTAATGATTTGAAGAATAGTGAATGAAGACGGAGTATCGATGTTGAGCATATTTTGAATGTGAGGAAAGGATTGGTCTCATTGGTAAAATTAATAAATTCTTATTGAAAGGCTTGTTAATATATAGGCTGTTGAAAATAAAAGATATCCATTATTCCCAAATGAGTCGTTGACATCAAAGATATCATGATACTTGCAGGAGAAACAGAATAGAGGCACCGATTCATGCCTATGACTTTAGAGCACCATATTTATGGTTTGTTGTTGGGAAGATACTGACTGTAGTTTAAGTAATGGCTTGTTTTTAAGATACATACTAGATGTCTTCATTATCTCATTGGTGCTGTCAATTGTAGTTTTGTCTGTCAATTTTAGTTACACAAAAAAAGGCTTCATAATCATTTAGTCATCCGGGAGTCAGTTACTAGGCCTATCTGACTGTGCCTATTCATGCTGTTCACTGAATTTTCAGAAAAAAAAGGTTTTATTTCTAATAATATTGCTATTTTTATTAACATTTTATCTCCATTGGCATTAGTGTAACAATACTAATGTTTATGAAAATAAAAACTTCTCTCCAAAAATTGTGAAACCGTAAACAAATGAACTTGAGAGTGCCTAGTCATTTTTTTTGTTTGATTGTTTTGTTATAAAACACTTGTGGAGCCATTCATTTATACCAAATACGATAAACTAGATTTACAGTTGACATGACATGTAAACTTGGCCTCCAATTGTAAACAGTTCACCATGTGCAGGTGTTGACAGTTGCAATACTAATTTAAGCTTGAAGCGAATTAATCTGAAGAAAACAAAAATTCATGCAGTCAGGTAATGACATCCTGCATTGACATAAGTATTATTCAAGCTCTCTTAGATTGTGATGAATTTCTTCAGTTAGAATTAAAAGAGGAGACCCATCTTTTACCATTCTTGGATGTGATACGGATATTTGGCTTCCAGCGAGTGTGATGTGTGAGTGAATTGCATGTTAAACGTTTCCTCGGGAGTGAATGTGATCTCACTTGCTGTGTAAAGTTGTAGTTATGAAAGAACTTTTATTCATTTATTTTTGTGTGATAGTCGTGAAGCAGTTCTGGAGACACTCGTGTAGCAGAAGGTGAGTAAAGGATATCTGGATAGAAGTGAGGCAGCAGAGATACTTGCTAAACGAGATGGGAGTGACCAATGCTGCACTGCCATTTGGCACCTCCAAAATTTCTTTTTTCATGTCTTTAGAATTTGTTAAGTAGTGAGGTCAACTAAAGATGCATTGGTCTTGCTGATAATGGTATTCACTTTCTGACAAACACAATATCCGCTCCACTCCACTCCACTCCACTCCACTCCACACTCTACTCCACACTCTACTCCACACTCTACTCCACACTCTACTCCACACTCTACTCCACACTCTACTCCACACTCTACTCCACACTCTACTCCACACTCTACTCCACACTCTACTCCACACTCTACTCCACACACTATACTACGCTACACTACGCTACACTACGCTACACTACACTGTGCGCATGCACACACACCATACACCACATACACACACCACACACACACACACACTATACACCACACACACTATACACCACACACACTATACACCACACACACACACACACACTATACACCACACACACACACTATACACCACACACACACACTATACACCACACACACACACTATACACCACACACACACACTATACAACCACACACACACACTATACACCACACACACTATACACCACACACACACCATACACCACACACACACCATACACCACACACACACCATACACCACACACATACCATACACCACACATACACCATACATACATACACACACACACCCACACACCCATACCATACATACATACATACACCCACACTATACATACATACACACACCTACACCATACACACACACACTATACACACCCATATACCACACACATCACACACCATAAACACCATTTTTTCCTCCAAACACACACCTATCCCCTACACACACGGACACACACACATCCCATACACACATGGACACACACACACATCCCATACACACATGGACACACACACATATCCCATACACGCATGGACACACACACATCCCATACACACATGGACACACACACACATCCCATACACACATGGATACACACACACACATCCCATACACCGCATGGACACACACACATATCCCATACACGCATGGACACACACACATCCCATACACACATGGACACACACACACATCCCATACACACATGGACACACACACACACATCCCATACACACATGGATACACACACACACATCCCATACACACATGGACACACACACACACATCCCATACACACATGGACACACACACACATCCCATACACACATGGACACACACACACATCCCATACACACATGGACACACACACACACATCCCTTACACACACAGACACACACACACATCCCTTACACACACTGACACACACACACACATCCCTTACACACACAGACACACACACACACATCCCTTACACACACAGACACACACACACACATCCCTTACACACAGACACACACACTCCCCCTACACAGATGCACGCACACTCCCCCTACACAGATGCACGCACACTCCCCCTACACAGATGCACGCACACTCCCCCTACACAGATGCACGCACACTCCCCCTACACAGATGCACGCACACTCCCCCTACACAGATGCACGCACACTCCCCCTACACAGATGCACGCACACTCCCCGTACACAGATGCACGCACACTCCCCCTACACAGATGCACGCACACTCCCCCTACACAGATGCACGCACACTCCCCCTACACAGATGCACGCACACTCCCCCTACACAGATGCACGCACACTCCCCCTACACAGATGCACGCACACTCCCCCTACACAGATGCACGCACACTCCCCCTACACAGATGCACGCACACTCCCCCTACACAGACGCACGCACACTCCCCCTACACAGACGCACGCACACTCCCCCTACACAGACGCACGCACACTCCCCCTACACAGATGCACGCACACTCCCCCTACACACACATACACACACTCCCCCTACACACATGAATATACCCCTACACACACACACTCGCGCACACGAGCACACACACACACACACACACACACACACACACACACACACACACACACACACACACACACACACACACACACAAATGCATACAAGCGCACACCCTGCACACAGACACACTCTACACACAGACACACTCTACACACACATTGACACGCCCCTACATGCACACACATCTGTACACACACATCTGTACACACGCATACACACATCTGTACACACGCATACACACACATCTGTACACACACATACACACACATCTGTACACACGCATACACACACATCTGTACACACACATACACACACATCTGTACACACGCATACACACACATCTGTACACACGCATACACACACATCTGTACACACGCATACACACACATCTGTACACACGCATACACACACATCTGTACACACGCATACACACACATCTGTACACACGCATACACACATCTGTACACACGCATACACACACATCTGTACACACGCATACACACACATCTGTACACGCATACACACACATCTGTACACACGCATACACACACATCTGTACACATGTATACACACATCTGTACACATGCATACACACATCTGTACACATGCATACACACATCTGTACACATGCATACACACATCTGTACACATGCATACACACATCTGTACACATGCATACACATCTGTACATATGCACACACCTGTACAACACATGCACACACCTTACACACATGCACACACTGTACACACATGCACACACATAACTATACACACATGCACACACCTGTACACACATGCCACACCTGTACACACATGCCACACCTGTACACACATGCACACACCTGTACCACATGCACACACCTGTACACACAATGCACACACCTGTACACACATCACACACACCTGTACACCATGCACACACACCTGTACACACATGCACACACTGTACACACATGCACACACATAACTATACACACATGCACACACTGTACACACATGCACACACCTGTACCACATGCACACACCTGTACACACATGCACACACATAACTATACACACATGCACACACTGTACACACATGCACACACTGTACACACATGCACACACCTTACACACATGCACACACTGTACACACATGCACACACCTGTACCACATGCACACACCTGTAACACACATGCACACACATAACTATAACATGCATACACACATCTGTACATGCATACACACATCTGTACATGCATACACACATCTGTACATGCATACACACATCTGTACATGCATACACACATCTGTACATGCATACACACATCTGTACATGCATACACACATCTGTACATGCATACACACATCTGTACATGCATACACACATCTGTACATGCATACACACACCTGTACACACATGCACACACCTGTACACACATGCACACACCTGTACACACATGCACACACCTGTACACACATGCACACACCTGTACACACATGCACACACCTGTACACACATGCACACACCTGTACACACATGCACACACCTGTACACAC